ATATCTTTTTACTGAACAGCATAATTTAATAGGGCTGAGAGAATTGCTGCCTATGATTTAAGTTTCTTTGAACAATGTGCAAGTGGGATATATTACTGAATAATTTCAACAGCTCATAATCGGCTGATAATGATTTGCAACGTGCAGTTCAAGTATGTGTAAGACGGCCTGTGTTCAGCACATTTTCTACTCTTAGTAAGTGTTGATTTTTCGTGACAATTATTTCAAGTGCCGTTTGGAGGGTTGTTTGTACACTTACAGAACCGATGAGGGTATGAGGCAGCGGTTCCAAACCAGCAAAGGATGTCAAATCAACTCTAATGGGTGTGAACTAACAGAAACGCTGGCATATTGCTGATTTTTAACACTTGTGTTAAATTAACGTTGACAATTTGGTTGTGTGTGTTTGAGCGAGCGAAAGAGGTCAAACTAGGGGCTTCATGCTCATTCAATCATTAACTCCATATCTGTCATCACGCATGGAAACATAACAGCAATAAAACACAGCATCCAAAAGTACCACTGAACCACACCAACCTCAACTCTGGAGATTGAGTATACATGTTAAATATACATAGCTGATATTTCCATTATAAAGAAATGGGAAATACATATTCGTATCATATTTCTAAAGGTAAAGATACTGAAAAAGCAGACTTTCACTCGTCTGTGAGGCTGTGTTCCTGGGTGAAAACATGTTAAGTCTATTTAATTAGTATACAAGCGACCATAACGTGACTGGTTTTACACAGAGTAATTTGTATTTCCATTTCCTCTGACAGTTGTGGGAAATATAAAAATGGCAGAAAAGAGAAAGAAATCATGTGTTAAAATAACTACTTAACTCGTTACTCAACATTGATTATTGGTTTCACATGGGAAACGAACATTTTTTTTTTTTTTTTTTACACAATTCAGTTTTAATTACCTAGAATAACCATCACACATTCAGAACCTTCTTATTTCTAGACTGAATCTACACAGGTTCTGGCTCCAGCTGTACAAAATGAACCCCCCTTGTGGCGAACTGTTAAAACTACATGACCACATGAGCATTATGAGCAGATTGTACCAGGAGACCGAGCGCAGTGAAAATCAGGTGAAACATCAGTGCGCCATCACTGCGATGCCAAGTTGGATCCCAGCAGCGAGTATTAACATAATACTTCTCAGAATCTGTCAACACGTTTTGATCCAGGATTCATACCACCGCACTACGTCTCGCTTGTCCCCAAATGACACGGCCAAGACGACGCACCGTGCCCGCGCTAAAACAATGCAGCGCCTTGTGCGGAGAGCGAGGCGGTGATTAAAGACTCCCGTTACCGCAGCGTGCCGACGGCAGCTCTGGTGAAATCCACCTGACTGGCTGCAGTGTTTCCCCTCTCTCATGGAATGTCTTTTCTCCCTGCAGCCAAGAATGAAGCGGATCGCCGATTAGAGAGATGCGAGATCAAACGGAGGCTCACGAGAAAGGTCAGGATGCAAGCAAGACACTCTATCATACAGCAGTTATTATTAGTTATACTGGTACTGGTACTGAGACAGACCTCATTTATTGAACGTGCTGCTGTCCGTTCTGCCATCAGCTGTCGCAAAGACCCACAGTGGCCGAACTCCAGGCGAGAAAGATCCTGCGCTTCCACGAGTACGTCGAGTCCACCCACGCCCACGACTACGACCGGCGAGCAGACAAACCGTGGACGAAGCTCACTCCTGCTGACAAGGTGAGACTCACATCCTCACCTACACACACACACACACACACATTCAACACCTCTCTTTATACCAGCAGGGTGCTTGAGGCTTAGAGCATCTTAGCAAGAGTACTGGTCGACTCTGAGAGGATTTGCATTCCAAGCAGATTCGGTATCGAGGAGAAATCCCAGGAATGCAATACAGATACTACTTAATGGCTTTACCAAGTGAATTACCTGGTCCAGTGAAGCTCAGAAAATATGTAGGGACAGAAATGATATGCATGTTGGAAGTTACATCGTTTTCTGTATGTTTAATTTACACTAAAAGTAAAAACAGGTGTTTTTTGGAGTCCGAAATAATCTAGCTTTGATCACACATTTCCTTTCTTCTTTTGTGCCTCACTATAAATGGATGAAACCATCTTGGCCTAAAGTGCTGTTTCTTTTATGTCTCCTGTCAGGCTGCCATCCGCAAAGAGCTCAACGAATTCAAGAGTTCCGAGATGGAGGTTCACGAAGAAAGCAGGATCTATACCCGGTCAGGCTCATATACAACGTCCCATCAATAATTCACCTCAGCTATTCTCCGAGTTTATTCAGCAGTGTCATCAATACTTTATGACTTCTGTTTTCTCTTTCAAAGATTTTCAGTTTATTCACTCTGAAGACGTTTGAATGATGAAGGCTCAGAAAAACCTTTTGACCGTCTCCCTCTCTTTCCACTAGGTTCCATCGGCCTTAGCTGTCCACGCTGACCAATAAAGCACTTTTGGGACTGGGAGCAGTGAGGAGGTGCAAGCCCCTCTTCCCCTGCTTTGAACTGAACGTGTGGCCCATTTGGTCTGTTTTTATTTTACTACTGACTGCCTGCTAACCTGCTTCAGCTGAAGACGCCCATAACTGGAACCGAAGCGAAAGAGGCCGCGGACCAGTTCAACCTCAGGTGGTTCTCCAGTTCTCAGACTGGAGTTCAGGACAGGAGGAGTTTTTCGGTGCGTCCACGTTGGAGGCACCCGGTGCCAACACTAAAAAGGGGCGAGGAAGCCCGCCCTCCCTCCCTCTGCTGGGGGGTCAGAGAGCATTAGAATGAACTGAAAGGATAACCGTTGGAGGGTTATCACACTCTCACCATGCCTTTACCTGCCTTCACATTATATTCTCTCTCTTCCTCTTCCAGAACAGGAAGACTGTGCACATAAAGAGGTTCTATAACACTGTCGATGGTACCACCAAACTAATCTGGACTGTTTAAACACTGTTTATATGTTCGGTACTACCCAAGCCTTACTCCTCACATGATCTCACACTTAAGGTTCAGACATAATGTGAAAGACTTCCAGCGTACAGGAGTGTGTTTCTTATTTAAAACTCAGTTGTAGCTCTATTTGAATCAACAGTTTGCGCTCTGCGTGTAGACCCCCAGAGCGCCGATTCCAAACTGAAACAGAAAGTGTGCATTTTACTGTATTTTGTCGATCATTTAAATGATTCTCATGGAGCACATTATCACTAGATTATTTTCTTATAAGGCACCTTATGTTCCTTAACTGGGTGTGTAGAAAATGGAAAAGTCTTGAGCCTATATGTTTATAATTGAATTATTCAAGCAGGAAAATGTACATATTTTTATTTTCCTGGCTGTTTTATGGTACTTTATATATGCAAGTCCATAGTTGGCTGCAATTGTATAGATCAACTGTGTAGATTTGATTGACTTTATTGTACATCAACAGTAATGCTGACCTGTTTTAATTGTAAAGTATTTCTCAAATGTTGTTTCCAAGTAGTAATGACACAAAATATTTCTTCTTTTTTTGATACAGAGATCTTTAACATGTTTTTGCAAACCACACTGAATACGTGAACAATCCATTCAAAAATTAAAATAACTTGTGATTTTCATTTCAATACCGTGTGAATTTTCCTAACATTGTATTCCATCCGTCTGCTGGGGAAACATATCCGAGGTGAATGGTAAGTGTATGGCCTCCTAACATGACCAGATGAGGGCAGTGTTGTACAGACTGTGCAGACCGATTCACAAAGTCCAATAATGTGTGCTAAGACTAAGAAACCCTTCATTGGAATCATGTCTTCGCTCACAGAGTTGTGTACCTGTGTGCTTCCAATGTCTCACACAGAGCAACAAGTGCAACAGACTTTATCCTGGACAAACCTGCTGTTTGTCCCTTTAACCTCCACTGGGATGCTAATTAGCAGGAAATAGACATGGTTCAGACACTAACTGAATGTCAAATAATTATCTAAATGAACTCATTAGAGGGATGCACCTTTAATCTGATACATTGTTTTAGTGTCCTCAGGTGTAGAACAAAGAGACTGCAGTACATCCTGCTGCACAATGGAACGCTTTAAGGTGCAAAGTACATAATTCATCAGTTTTTATTGACTACTAATCATTAAATATTATTTCATATTAGATATATTTAACGAGTGAATGGGTACATTACAACAAACCTCGAGTCTGCCATTACTCATGCAGTCCAGACTGAGCTGCAAATAATTGCTTGTAAACTTTTCAACACATAAACAATAAACTTAAGACATATTCAGGGTTCCCACGCGTCCTGGAAAACCTGGAGATTTTCTCAGCTAGTGTTCCAGTCATGGAAACACCTGGCAATGGATCAATATGACCAAATATCATAGTTATATATTTCATATAAAATCCTCATTGTATTTCAGCCTGTGCTAGCTGATGTCTGACCACCTACCTTATTGTCAAGAAAAACTCCTGGAAAATGTCCTGGAAAGCAATTTCTTGAAAAGAACCCTAATATATTTTTAACAGTCATTGATGTATTTCAACAAAAATACAGGACTTAAAGGACAGACGCCAATATGAACATTGAAGCCGTTTTGCTTTCTGTAATCACTCTTCCTGTTCATAGTGGCCATGAGGAGATCCATCCTCTTCCAGTGGAAGTGATGGGGGACAAATTCCACAGTCCTCTCTATCTGCAGTTAATCTGAGGCTTCAGCAGTGAGGCAGGTAAATCAAAGTCTTTTTAGTCTTGTTACCAGTACAAAATTCCTTTTCTCTTTTTTGTTAGCATTCCTCTATCGTAGCTCAAAAAGAGCGACTTTGGAACATTTTTAATATGAATTAACTCCAGCTGCTGAGGCCTCATAATAACTTCAGATAATCTGCAGTGTATTTTTGCCAGAATGAGGACTGGATTTTTTTTTTGTTGATAGTGACAGCAGAAGAGTGACAGGAGAGGGGGGATGACGTGCAGCACCCTTATCACTTCCATTGGAAGAGTTGGGATGATAACACCAAAAACTGTTTCCAGACTATCTTGAGAAAATGTGAACCTCTCCTTTAAGGGTTAAAACATATTCAATATTTGAGCCGACAAACACAACCCGACCTCAAGGTCCATCTAGTATGGAGTCCCAGATGTTGTCATATTTTAACACTTGAGGGACTACTTTGGCTAAAAGTTAAGTTTCAAAATTCCTTCCTGACCTTGGATTCAGCAGTTTCCCACTCTTCACGAGAGTATAGTTCCCCGTTTCATATTATGCTGTTGTAATGTGCAGTGGTTAATGGCAAGCCACAATGAGTCGGGTTGTCTGCGCACAGGTACAACAGCGGGAGATTTAAAAGCTCGCAGCCTGTCTGCACTATTTCTGTTTAGCTCGCTGTTTTTACTATAAAAGTGTAAAAGCAGAGGAAGAATCTTGTGGCGTTGTGTATTTCGCTCACAAACCTTTTCCGTCTATGTGTGACAGTGCTGCTGTTAGCTCTGAGCCAAACAGGTGAACTGTTAGCAAGCTGACAGCAACCGTGATGAAGATGAAGATATCAGTACTATTGTAATCCTGTTTGAAAAAGCATGCATAATACACAGCTTCATTTATCAGATTTAATCTTAAAGCACACTGGATAATGGAAAGGTCTAAAAAGAGTATCTTAGTATCTTAAAGGATGGGAGAAAAAAAGGATTACACAGTGAGTGAGAGTGAGAAGTGCTGGCTTGATATATCATCTTGGAGCCCATATTAAATCCCACTCTGTCAGTAATCATTAGTAATAATGTCAAACCAGCAGTGATGATAGAATGCAACTCCATAAGGCCTCATTTGATTCACTTTCTTCCTCATCAGCTGCTTTCATTTCCATGTATTACACATCCTCCACTTAAATAAGTCTGCCTCATTTTGAAGGCTGCAGCTTGAATGATTGAATGCTGATCATAATCACTCACAGGATAGAGTCATCAGTTCTTAAAAATGATTTGACCAGGTGTGTAAACCGCATCAGGTCAACCTGATTGCTTGATAAGGTGCCTCTGCACCTTCACAGCCAGGGCTAAATGGGTCCTATAATTACATTAACTCTGAGCATGTAGGTCCTAATCAACAGATTGTCAGACGATCTCATCTCTATATTGGTCAGCTAGTTATCACACTGTTGAACAGTTTGCACAGTGCAGCATGTGTGGAACTAATTAGAGGTGCTGACATTCTGGCCGGTAGCCTAAATGCAGCCAGAGAAGAACAGCTAGTGGCAAGGATGGCTACGTTGGTGGGTTAGTTTTAACCTGGCACACCAGATGGTTGGTCACACAGAACCATCTGGGTACTCATTGTTTGGAAAAGGCTGATTGGAGGAACCATCTGTATATCACCATCTATCACAGGCAAACTTCTACCAATCAGACCTCTTCATTTTGTTTCACTACCAGCGGAGCTAGTTGGTAAATCAAACTCTTGCCAGAGGCAAAAACTTCTTTTTCATTGAGAAAAGTCTTCAGAGCCGTTCTTTGCTCTTCTTTCAATGAAGAAATACTCTCCAGTTCTGATAGAACTGATGCTAGCAGCATGTACACTAACCGCTATGGGAGCCGCCATTGTTGTTTTCACTGTTGTCATATGCGTGTAGTTGCCAGTAGTTCCTCATAGGATGCTGACTGTTTAGAACCACTGGGGTTTGGACACAACCACGTTAACATGACTGTTCACCAGCAGCAGCAGCAGCAGCAGCAGGTTAAAGTTTCTTATGAGAAATATCTACTGGTTGGATTGGTGCATAATTGTGTACAGACATTCATGGTTTCCAGATGATGTATCCTAATGACTTTGGTGATCCTCTAAATTTATTCTTGTGTCATCATGAGGTCAATCTCAGAACTATGATTCATCCTCTGTAGGCGTCAGGCAATGTTTTAGTGCTTCTAGTGTAGCCAGCAGATACCTGAAAAAACGGACATCAGGCCCAAGACTTCCTCTGAAGTCTGATTAGCGACATGATAAACTGACTTCAGCCCTAAAACCAGAACTCGTCTGATGCCAAAATGTTGGTCCTTTTGCCAACAAGTTTATATCAGTTTATAGACATTAGTAATGAGGTTGATATTTGTGTTTTTAAGTGAAATGTCTCAACAAATAGTGAATGGATTTCTATGAAATTTGCTTCACAAATTCATGATAATTAGCAATTGTTGCAATTGCATGCCGCCACATTACACTAAGATGGTGAACATGGTAAACGTAATACCAAACGCCAACTGCCAAACATCGGCGTGTTAGCATTATCACTGTGAGCTTGATAGCATGCTGACTTTGACATTAAGATCAAAGCAGAGCAGTACAGAAAAGTATTGTCCAATAGCTGGCATGTCTGTATAATCCTACTCTAGTTCCACTGTGCCCTCTAATACACACACATTGCAAGTCTTATGAATATATAAAAGCATCATTTTTGACAGAATATGATTTATATTCTCACTTTTGCATCACAAAGGCAAGTCAACCACAAAACTTTGTATATTATTTTTTTCCACAAATATAATGTAATGTGACACAAAACAAAAGATGATTTATTTTACTCCTATCATCACCAGTAAACCTCCCCAGAAATTAAGAAGCAAGAAAAACAAAATCAAGTACTTTTGTTCTCGGAGAGCAGCACGGCATGAATGTATAATTAGCTCTGAATTCCAAATGTTGACAGCGACCGTGTTTGTCGGTGAGTTATTGTGTTTTTCCCCGAAAAAAGAAGGAAAAGAAATCGTGAGCTGAACTCTACTTCATTTGAGTACAAGCATTGAATATTTATGACTGCACTGGGTCAATGAAATTTTGATGCCAAATTTGTCTTCCTGGGGACTGATCGATGCATTGAGTTTTAGCGTCAGACATTTAGTTAACAAACCTCGATTAGGGACTATTCATAATCTCACCGCAATATCACATCACATTAAGGCTTCACCATTGTCTAGTCATGATAAAGGATAATTTTACAATGCATGATTTGGGATTTTAAATGTGGAAGAGATTAATTAGCTTCCATGCGATAGGCACATCCCAGTTTCAGGGTTACAGTACAAAATGCTGACCACCTTCTACTGCCACTGACAAAGCACAAATGAAGATATTGCTGTACGAACAGTAGCCTGGAGGAAAGCTGTTTATGAAGCAGCGAGAGATAGGTTATAAAAGAGGCTGCGGGGCATCACTGAATCATTAGAGAACCCCTCGAGTCTTCAACCCCTCGCTCCAGGTGGGGGGGGTGGGGGGGGTGGGGGTAGCTGATGCAAG